TCATCTATGGCTTTTCTCTTCCCTTTCACAAACCGATCCATCTCTAAGTTACGTCCTTTGGCTGGAAGGACCCCCCGACCCGCAATACTCGTTGCAGGCAGTAAAATGCAAGTTTTTTTGGAGGGGTTCCCCAAACCACGGACTTGGCAACACTGTAGCGTGCCAACTTGATGCTTCCTCTGAAGACTGCTTAGATGTACTCGACTTGAAGCAGCGCTGCTTAGACCGATGTGTCATCAAAGTATGAAGCAGCGCGCTTAGACCGATCGGTGTGTGTCATCAAAGTACTGCGAGAGCTATAAGAGAGTGGACGTCTCCTTATGCTTTATCTCGCCGTACTTTGATGTCATACACCGATCGATCTTCAAGTCGAAAACACCTCTTTACTCTCGTGTGTCACGTGACCGAGTGTAATTGCAGCCTCTGCGATTAAAAAATCGAGTTTTTTCATATCGAGATATTATCGCAAATGCAATTAATTGTTCAGCCCTATTCAAAACCACCCAGAAACCCCAACAACCACATAGTAACCACCCAGAATATCCCAGCAACCACATAGCAACAGCGTAGCAACCACTCAGAACACCCCAGCAACCACATAGCAACAGCGTAGCAACCACTCAGAACACCCCAGCAACCACATAGCAACAGCCCAACAACCACTCAGAACACCCCAGCAATCACATAGTAACAGCCCAGCAACCGCATAGCAACAGCATAGCAACCACTCAGAACACCCCAGCAACCACATAGCAACAGCGTAGCAACCACTCAGAACAGCCCAGCAATCACATAGCAACATCCCATCAACCACATAGCAACAGCGAAGCAACCACTCACAACAGCCCAGCAATCACATAGCAACAGTGTAGCAACCACTCAGAACACCCCAGCAACAACATAGAAACCACTCAGAACACCCCTGCAATCACATAGCAACACCCCAGCAACCACATAGCAACAGCGAAGCAACCACTCAGAACACCCCAGTAACCACATAGCAACAGTGCAGCAACCACATAGCAACAGCATAGCAACCAATCAGAACACCCCAGCAACCACATGCGTAACAACAGCATAGCAACCACCCAGAACACCCTAGCAACCTCATAGTAACATGAAAACAATAGAAATGTAACACTATTAGTTGTACTAGGGCTGCACGATTAAACAAAATTAAATCGCAAAGGCGATAAATCGCGATTAGGCAGAAGCTGTGATTGTCATGCGTATCTTTCAGTGAAACAGTAAATCTCCATCCGAAGGCCAGAGGGCGCTCTCGCGCTGAAACTCCAAATACGCCTCGCAGAAGAAACCCAGGATGAATAAACAGAAGATTTAAATGCTTTTATTAATTCAACGTCACTAATAAACACACGACTATGACAATATATGGTTTATCGGAGTCCCTCTTATTATAATTTTTATTATAATAAAGTATGTAATAATGCAATGCTAATGGACATAGCCTTTATCACTGCTTAGAATACTATGAAATATGTTGTGTGCCTTATTCTGTGTAAGATGCCACATCATCTCACAGAAGGATTTACTTTACACTCGACTGACGTTATGAAGTGAGTTTGGAGTAAAAACATGATATTAAATGTGGTATTTTCACGTGCTTTCAGATGGAGCAGCATTTACTACACAGAGCCGTAGTTCACTGACAAGCTACGCAAACAGCTTTCATAATCGCAGAACGATTTCTTCGATTTCATAATCGTGCGATTAAATCGTCTGCGATTATGAACGCGATTTTGCGTAGCTTGTCAGTGAACTACAGCTCTGTGTAGTAAACGCTGCTCCATCTGAAAGCACGTGCTGGAGATTTACTACTAATCACAGAACCGGCTTTACTGACGAGATGCGCATGACAATAGCATTCGATTAATCGTGCAGCCCTAAGTGGTACATATTTTTTCGTTTATAGTTTTTTTCTTTATATTCTTAATTACTCAGAACACCTTTGCCACATGCTAAAAGCCACCTTAGCAATCTTAGCAACTTCACTTTTTCCTTCAGAAAATACTAGAGATAATAATAATAGTAATAGCAATATATAGCAACCCACCTTCATAATCTCACTAGTTCTTCAGAAAATATACAAATCTAATGCAAAATTTTTTATATATTTTTAGTTTTTATCTTTACTATTCTTAATTATTAATGTTTAATATTTGTGTGTTATTTATTTATTAATTTTTGTTAAATTTCTTGCCAGGTTTAGGTTGCTTACAAGCCATGACTCTGAACTATTATTTAAGATCCCTTTGGTGATATTTGTTGGTTCATATTTTGTTTTCTATGAGTTTTCTCATTCACATCGTACACGACTAAGCTGCAAGTGTTTCAGCACACAAACAGTTTGTTATTCCACAATTTATTTTGCAAATTTGTATTTGTGGCCTTCATTGACACACACTAAAGAAACCTCCATAGGGAGAAGGGAGTCTCGCGTCCTTGAGCTCTCTTAATCATGTTATGGACTCCACTGCCGCGCTATCATCCTCTCTGACCTTCAGGAGACACCAGAGAAGAAACAAACGCACAAATGCGACAGATAATGCTGACCTGCACATAGACGCGGTCGTATGCAGTGATCACGCAGGGCCCCACGGCTCTCCTCTCGTAGGCCTCGGTGACGAACAGCTCCATGGATAGGACGGGAGCGGCGTGGCCTCTCGGGACCCATGGACTGAAATGCAGCGCCTCCTCTGGCCTGGAGGACGGAGTCACGTCTGCTGGACTCACAGACCACCAAAAATAAGACAGTTTTCTGCTCACATATAGTTTCAATTATTAGGTTGCAGTTTCTACGTTCGGATGCTGCTTATGTAGACACACTCACATGGATGACTATCAGACTCGTCTCATTCAACACCTCCTCGCCCGTCCCATTGTTCAAACCCTCCAATGGTTTCCGTTTCCAAAGGAACACCTTCAAAATACATTTAAAATATATAGCAGTAAGAAATGAACCATTCTTCCTCCGTGTCTTTTGATGATGCTCTCATCAAGCCTGTTAACGGTCTGTTTTTCCGCTTGATGCGGTACAGTGTGACCTGGGTCTTCTGTTTTTGGTGTGTGGTTACAGCTGACAACTTTATGCTTTCATGTAAACCACACACACACACACAAGAGGTGTGACCCGGGTCAGATTTAGTTACTGCTCTACAGAACCGTGTCATACTGAAATGAACTACTTTCATTATCATTTTATGCTGCTTTCTGAACCTTCTGGATCTTGACAGGTCAGACGTCACAGATACTGCATTGAAAATATCTGCATTTCAGTTAAACTGAATACAGAATTGTATGCTGAAAACCATGCAGTTACATCAGCTATATTAATATTACACTCATTTTAAAATCCATTTGATCATATTTAAGTATAATTATGTGTCTCGCTCACTGTGTTTGTGTAATGAACTCTTCCATTCGCTTCATCCATTTCTACCTCCGTCCCACAGGAAATAACAGGGAAAACCAACAGGAAGTGGCTTCCGTTGAATTCACCCCAGCAACTGTGATCCCGCAGGGTCACTGTCGACACTGGAAAAATCTGTGTGAATATAAACAATTCAGAACACATAAAGAATCTCAAATAATATGCACCTATTTAAAGGTTTGGGGTCAGTAAGATTTTTTTTAATATTTTTGAAAAAAAGAAAAATCTGCTCAGCAAGGCTGCATTTATTAGCTTAAAAATATACAGATAAAAATTGTGAGATATTACAATTTAAAATAACTGTTGTCTGTTTCATATTTTTTTGGAAACTGTGATACATTTTATTGTTCAGGATTCTTTGATGAATAGAAAGTTCAAAAGAACGGCATTTGTTTGAAATAAAAAATATTTTGTTGCATTAAAAATGTATTTGGTGCAGGGTCATTATAGTTAACTAAAACTAAAATAATAAAAAACGTTTTATCTTTACTTTAACTTAAATAAAATGAAATATGAAAAATCTGAAACTTATTTTATTTCAGCTTCTTGCCAAGTCAAATTTACTTTTCTTTTACCTTAACTGAAATAATAAAATAATAATTAAACTGAAATAAACATTAATAAAACCTAGACATGTTTTTAAAAGAATAAAAATGTAAATACAATTTATAATAAAAAATTTAATTTGTATCAAATTTATACGAAAATTAATATATAAAATGTTAATAAAAAGTATATATATATATATATATTTATTAATACAAATTATAATAGTACTTGATGATACTAAAACAATAATGCTTTACTGTAACTTATGATCAATTTAATGCGTTTTTGCTGAATAAAAGTATTAATTTCCATTCATTTAAAAAAATATTACTGACCCCAAATATGTTTCGTGGCACTTGACTTTGTTTCACTAATTTATTAGCATAAATAAAGAAAGAATATTTTTACTGCTTTTTGTGCTCTGGAAAGTGCAGCCTGTAGCATCTGTGTATCCACGGTAACGGTAAGAGCTCCGCCCCCACACTGGCAGGTGAGCGCCTCACTGCTGATGTCATCCTGCCCCCCGTCTGAAGACCCTTCTGAACCACAAACCCATCTCAAACAGTCGTCTTAATCCCATTTTGTCTAAAAACTTTCATCAATCTGATCAAATATTCAAGAAAATTGTTAAAAAACGATGTTTTTTCACACACATTTTGGCCGTATGTTCGTATGATCAGATCATGCACACATGAGAAATGTCACTCACCTTTTCCACCTTCCCTTAACCTGATGACGAAGCGATTGGCCAGATCAGCCTCGGTGTACGAGGTCACTTTGGGAAAGCCGCTCTGATTGGCCCATTCTAGAAGGTCGGGGGTGCTGAGGAGGTCAGAGGTCACGGTGCTGGTCATGCTGAGGCCGGGGGCTGGAGATCGGTACGGCAGACTCACGTTGTTGGACGACTGAACGACAGAGACATACATGTTTGCAGTTATTCAAGTGTTTGGAAAAGCAGACCGTTCAGAAATAGAAATGCAACTTTGTCCTGAGTGCGTCCTTACATAGACCCTGACGTGACCTCTGACCTCTGGAGCCACCAGAGTCCAGTTGACTGGCGCCGCACTGCTGAGGATCAGAACAATCCTGTGATAGCCTGAACGAGCCACTGGAGGCAGCAGAGAGACAGACGCCTCCACCTGCAGAGAGCTGAGAGAGAGAAACTTTCATTTTTACAGGATATGCGGCATGTTGTCGATTATGACTGAGAATCATTGTGTGTTGGCTAATTAATAAAAGCAAACAGCAATTTCAGAAGCTGGAAAGGGAATTGGGTTTAAATGTAAAAAATGCAGCTTATTTTATTAAGATGAATTAAAAAAGCAATATTACCATATTATTAATGTTGCCCTTTATATGTATGCCTCTTATTTTCCTTTCAGTTTACATCTTTATTTAATTTTTATAAACTGATCAATTTCTTGCATTTCCTTATACTTTTTATTTTTGTATTTTTATGTAAATTTAAAATAAAAAAATGTGCACAAATTTTGAATCTAAAATGACATAAATTATACACATTTTATATAAAGCACTTTGAAATGTGTATGGCGTGTTATAAATGTGTTACAAAACTTTTCATTTAATGACCTTTTTATACGTGTCTTATTTTCCTTTCAATGTGCACCTTTATTTGATTTTAATTAATTTATCCATTTATTCCATTTTAATTTCTTACCTTTTATTTTTTATTTAACGATTCTGAAAATACTTTATGTAAGTTTTCCATAAAAAATTATTTTTTAATGTAAATATTTATGTAAAGCACTTGAATTACCATTCTGTATGCAATGTTATAATTATTTATATATTATTTTATTAAAACATTTACTTTATTATTACTGTCCCTTTAATGTATGCCTCTTATTTTGTTTTTACTGTATATTTCATTTCTTAGATTATTTACATTTTATTTTACTTTTTATTCTTTTTTATTTCTTACATACCTTATTATCACTAGTAAGGAAAAAAGTAACTTTTTCATCAAAATTGCATGTACATATTCCTGTAATTAAAAAAAAATTATTTTATGTAAATGTTTATTAAAGCACCTTGAATTACCATTATGTATGAAATTTTATGCCTCAAAGAAATGTTTCTATTTCTTCAGTTTCTGCTTCTCACTTATGTGTGTGTGTTTGTGTGTGTGTGTGCCGGGGGCTGGAGATCGGTACGGCAGACTCACGTTGTTGGACGACTGAACGACAGAGACATACATGTTTGCAGTTATTCAAGTGTTTGGAAAAGCAGACCGTTCAGAAATAGAAATGCAACTTTGTCCTGAGTGCGTCCTTACATAGACCCTGACGTGACCTCTGACCTCTGGAGCCACCAGAGTCCAGTTGACTGGCGCCGCACTGCTGAGGATCAGAACAATCCTGTGATAGCCTGAACGAGCCACTGGAGGCAGCAGAGAGACAGACGCCTCCACCTGCAGAGAGCTGAGAGAGAGAAACTTTCATTTTTACAGGATATGCGGCATGTTGTCGATTATGACTGAGAATCATTGTGTGTTGGCTAATTAATAAAAGCAAACAGCAATTTCAGAAGCTGGAAAGGGAATTGGGTTTAAATGTAAAAAATGCAGCTTATTTTATTAAGATGAATTAAAAAAGCAATATTACCATATTATTAATGTTGCCCTTTATATGTATGCCTCTTATTTTCCTTTCAGTTTACATCTTTATTTAATTTTTATAAACTGATCAATTTCTTGCATTTCCTTATACTTTTTATTTTTGTATTTTTATGTAAATTTAAAATAAAAAAATGTGCACAAATTTTGAATCTAAAATGACATAAATTATACACATTTTATATAAAGCACTTTGAAATGTGTATGGCGTGTTATAAATGTGTTACAAAACTTTACATTTAATGACCTTTTTATGCGTGTCTTATTTTCCTTTCAATGTGCACCTTTATTTGATTTTAATTAATTTATCCATTTATTCCATTTTAATTTCTTACCTTTTATTTTTTATTTAACGATTCTGAAAATACTTTATGTAAGTTTTCCATAAAAAATTATTTTTTAATGTAAATATTTATGTAAAGCACTTGAATTACCATTCTGTATGCAATGTTATAATTATTTATATATTATTTTATTAAAACATTTACTTTATTATTACTGTCCCTTTAATGTATGCCTCTTATTTTGTTTTTACTGTATATTTCATTTCTTAGATTATTTACATTTTATTTTACTTTTTATTCTTTTTTATTTCTTACATACCTTATTATCACTAGTAAGGAAAAAAGTAACTTTTTCATCAAAATTGCATGTACATATTCCTGTAATTAAAAAAAAATTATTTTATGTAAATGTTTATTAAAGCACCTTGAATTACCATTATGTATGAAATTTTATGCCTCAAAGAAATTCTAACAGCGACACCAGCAGGTAAAGTAACAGCAGGAGTTTGAGCCCATTGAGTTTTAACAGACCAACTGAAGCGGTGCGGTAATTGAGAATGAATGGGGAAAAATCACGTGAGAGGAGACAAAGCCTCCATCGCGATATGATTGGATATGACTGGTTATGTTCGGCTGTGATTGGTTCATGCGATAAATGCCGCCTCTTCTCAATCAATCAGTCTGAATGAACAATATAATGGATTTGAATTTTTTATGTTATTATAACCTAAAGATGCTATGTGAAAGACACACATTATTAATTTACTTTAATTATATATATATATATATAAATCAAGAATGTCCATTTAAGAGACGTTATGAACCTGGTTGACTAAGTTTCAGCCTCTCGTCTCAGTTTGTGATGTTCCACTCTGGACTCACCTGCACAGTCCGGACCCCGAAGACCAGAGCCGGATGATGTGCACCTCCATCTCCACGGGCTGGTCTGACGGGACGCAGCCGTGAACCTCCTGCTCCTGCAGCTCTGACGCCAGATAGTTCTGAGACAGAAAGAGAGGCCGCAGGCGGCACTCACTCGGCATGCTGGGATCTGGAACCCAGACGAGAACACAATAAAACACAATTCAAACTATTTACATGAACGGAGGAACAGTGTGTGTTTTTACCTTCTCCCAGACGGAGGTAAATGCGGTTGGCACGAACAGTGTGCGTGAGCGACGAGATGGTGGCGTGACGCTGGTAGATCCAGCGCAGAAGGACACGGGGCCGCGGCGGCAGAGACTGAATCTGCTTCACGCGGATAGACAAGCTCGAAGACTCGGCCGTAGAGTTCAGAGACACCTGGGAGAGCAGGTGAACGCCTAAGTTACATTTACATTTAGTCATTCTGCAGACGGTTTTATCCAAAGCGACTTACAGTTAGGGAATACATAAAGCGATTCTTCTTAAAGAGGCAAACAGACACAGGAAGTGCTTGTAATACCAAGTTTTAGGCATTGGGCCGCGGCGGCAGAGACTGAATCTGCTTCACGCGGATAGACAAGCTCGAAGACTCGGCCGTAGAGTTCAGAGACACCTGGGAGAGCAGGTGAACGCCTAAGTTACATTTACATTTAGTCATTCTGCAGACGGTTTTATCCAAAGCGACTTACAGTTAGGGAATACATAAAGCGATTCTTCTTAAAGAGGCAAACAGACACAGGAAGTGCTCGTAATACCAAGTTTCAGGCATTGTTCAAATAAGTACATGCTAGAAAGGGAAGGAATAAATAAAGAGAAAGACAACGTTTTTTTTATTTTAGGATGAAGTCAAGTAGTGTCGAAAGAGATGAGTTAAATGTTTTCTCATTAAAGCAACTGTAAGTTATTTTTCCTCTTAAAAAATCTATTTGAAAATAATAAAGCGAATGGCATCTGTTTAGTTTGGTGAGCTGGTACGAATTTCCGTTAAAAAGGCAGAGTTGCTTTTCGGCAGCAACAAATGAATGATATCCACTGACATTTTTAACTTCAAACCGTTGCTTCTGGCTAAAATATGAGTCCATAAAACTTTCTCCAGTGAAAAACTTGTCTTGTCTGAATCAGGAGAGTAATATACACAAATCACTGTCTACAAGCCAAAACAGCTCTAAACAAATATGTTGTTTTATTTTAATGTGGGAGGACAACAGGAGATGGACTTTTTCACTGGAATAAGCGATATTATGGACTCATATTTTAGCCGGAAGCAACGGTTTACAGTGAAAAGTGTCTTGATGGATTTGTTTCTTATAAACACGCAGTTTTTCTCTTCACAAGTCATTAACTGATGGACTGGAGTGGTGTGGATTACTTGTGGATTATTGTGATGTTTTTATCAGCTGTTTGGACTCTCATTCTGACGGCACCCATTCACTGCAGAGCATCCATTGCTGAGACACTGATGCTAACTCTCAGATGGCCTGATGGTGAGTAATAATTTTCACTAATATTATGAAATAATAACAGTATTAGTAATAGATATTAATACAAAATTATATATATAGATCAGATCAGTGAGTCAGTGTGGGACAATAAGCAACATCACACACCTGCACCATCACGTTGATGTTGTGCGACAGTCCTTCGTTTTCCAACACCCAACGCACAGCATGCTGGGAGCACAGGACCAGAATCACTAACCGGTTGACGGGACGAGAGACGGTCAAAGGTCTCAACACCACCGTGACCTGCGGAAAAGACACCCGAGTGTGATGGGTGCACACCATCTGGACGAATACGAGCAGACAGATGTCTCACACCTGTTTATTGGAGGCTTTGCCCACAGAAATCACATGGGTCTCTTTAGCTCCGCCCTCTCTGGCCGCACAGCCTGTTCCCGCCTCAAAGCACTCCAGCTGAGCCTGCACTGGATGCAGCGCCCCCACAGGCCACATGGAGCACTGCAGCTCCCTGCTGGACACTGACACACACAGAGATGACTTAAAGGGGTCATATGATGCTATTTTAAAGATCATTATTTTGTGTATTTGGTGTAACAGAATATGTTGACTTGCTTTAATGTTCAAAAAATACATTATTTTTCAAATACTGTACATTATTGTAGGTCCTCTATGCCCCGCCTCTCCCATACACATCGTTTTCAACAAAGCCCAAGATCACTGAACATAAAGTTTCAGAAAAATGTGTTAGTGCTGTATTTTCTTTCATCAAAACCAGAGGATTTGCTATAATTGATAATATCAATGTTATTTCAGTATTATTTTAAATACTATTATAGTTTTTATTAATATTTTGAATTAGTTTTTTATATCATTTTAGTTTTAATTTCAGTTTAATTTCTAGTCAGTTTGTTATGTGCATTTCGTTTGTCATTTTATTAGTTTTTGAATTAGCTTTTATTTTTATATTTTCAGTTTTTGTTTCAATCTTAGTTTAATTTTCATTCATTTTGTTGTGTTGTTGTCATTTTATTTTCTTATGAAATTTTTATATCTTAAATTTTAGTTTAATTTGTAGTCATTTTAAGTGTTGTTTTTTTCATTTGTGTTCATTTTTTAATTAGCTTTTTCTTGTTCAGTTTTCATTTAAGTTTAATTTTTAGTAATTTTTAGCAATTTTTTTACTATTTAGGTTTAATTTAATTTAATTTAATTTCACTTTTAGTTTTTATTTTCTAGTTAATAATTAATCTAGTTATTTCTATTTTCTATCTAATTATTTTCTAGTTAATAGTGATTCAGCTTAAACTTATTTCAAGTAGGGCAATATGTCTATCTATCTCATCTTATTTTATTTCAGCTTCTTGTGTTATGTTTTTAAATACTTTAATACTTCATTAAATACTCAGTTAATAATAGTTAACTGCAATAACCCTGGGTAATAGTATGTTTTGTAATACCATGGAAAAATCATATCTTACAGTACCATGATATGCAATTATTAATATGGTAATTATTATACAGTACAGTACAGATACCATTACTGTACCACGGTACGTCATAGTACTCCAAAACACACACGTGCTAATACTCACTCACACGTATTTAACGTTGAGTTTACGTCCAACTCAGAGACGCAAATGAAACTCACACACCTGTCATACACGGCGCAGGATACTGTTAATGCATTCGCATAAAATCACCACACATCTACGCAAGCTTTCACATGCAGCCTTGAGAAATGCATCTGGCTGCTCTCTCTTTCACCTGCATCACTGAAACAACTGAGACCACAGCTTGATCATCTTTTGTATTCTGCATGACACTGTGGGCATTTTCAAGTGGGTTTTACCTGCAGTTCCAACCACAGCCAGCAGGACGAAGAATACAGCACTGCCCGTCCAGGGCATCATCCTTCAGCACTTCACAGATTTCAGGATCAGATTTCTGGCTTACACTGACATACACTAACAGATAAAAGGAGGAATGTGACAGTGAGTGAGACAGAGGTGCAGAAACACGACAATAATACGACGAAAAAAGCCCACACCCCAATATTCAGATGTTTCCAATATTCAAGTGACTTAAACTTTTTATTTTAAACCATGCACTGATAGCACACTTACATCATGGAGACGTCTATTTGACGTCTGCATTTTACATCTGCAAGACTTATTTTTTAGTGTCTATAGGACGTTTTCTATCAGATGTCAAATATACGTTTTTAGAAGATGTCTTTAAGATGTTTATGATTTAGAATGAATGTAAAACTGACATCTTAAAGACGTCTATCAGATGTTTGTACACAGCAGATGCTTTCCAGATGAAGAGGTCTTTAACAGACGTCTTGCAGACATACCTGTGATATCTGGGTGAGCTCATAATAGCCATAAAATACAACTTTTTTTCAGTTTAGCTGCACACATTGTGCCTATATTTTGTGCCTACATGTTCTGCAGACTAATTATACCCATTACAGAACGTGTGTAATGATGTATTTATATAATTTACTAATATAATTTTAAAAAAAAACAATTCTAAGCACAATTTAGTAAACGAATACAACTTAAAACTTCAGCAAAATAGATTAAATAAACCTTAATTTAATGTATTGATTAACCCATCTTTTATTTATTTATATGTTTCAACTAATAAATACATATTTAGTTCCTCCAAAACTCACCTGCAGCTAGTCTTTGACCCAAATTACATGACTGATGCGCCCGTTTAGTCGCTCACCCGAGACAGAGGATAGGACGGCAGCACCGGACCCTGAATGGACAGCGTTCCAGCCCCACAGAAGAGCTCGCATTGGTTGCTCCGCGTCTTCTGGGGTGAGGAAAGTTCGGGCCAGCTGATGTAGTTCGGAGAGGGGCGGGGCCGAGCGGCGGGAGACGCGCGCGCTGGAGGCGGGAAGAGAGTTTCCCGCGCTTTGACCTGAGGGAGAGAAACAGGCTGAGACCGTGAGACGAGAGCGGCGAAAAACAGGTAGAGAAAGACACGGCGCAATTACATTTGGGAAATTGTAAACAAATCTATGCTTGTTTGTTTGTGTGTGTGTGTGTGTGTGTGTGAAAAGAACAACTTATAAACCAAAAGTGAGAGAAAAACACGTTTTTTTCGGACAAAAAGTCTGTGGTGGTAACAGTACAGTGATGTAGTATTACATATTTTGATGGGTACTAAATCCAAATATCATGGTAATACTATGGTACATTTATGTTATTGTTAAATCTACTGGCTGTTTGGACTGAGAGAGAGAAAGATTAAGAAGTGAGCGCCGAAAATCAGGTAGATACACAGCACGATTACATTTTATCAGTGTTGGGGGTAACATGCGAGTTAAGTAATCAGATAATTTTTTTCAAGTAACTAGTAAAGTAATGCATTTCTTTTTAATTTACAAGGAAATATCTGAGTTACTTTTTACATTTATTGACTGACAGCTCTCCTTTCCTCATGTTGAGAGAAATCAGGAGTGAGTGCAGAGGTGTTGTGTGCGCTGAGTAAACATGATGTTACTGTAGCTCTAGACTAAATGTGAATATACATTTATGCATCTCACCTGCACAAAAAAAGAAGATTCAGTATTCCTCAAAATCAATAAAAACTTTTTTTGTGCTGAACTTTTTTTTCTACTGCATCCTATTCTTCATGCAATCCAGAATGACAGCACAACTGAAAGGTTTGTTTGAGCTGCACCCTCTACTGTACGGACGTGAATTTACATTTCCTTCAGCCTGACGCTTATTCATGTCACTTTTGGTGTGAAAGGACTTTTTCATTTGCCAAAAATAAATCTTTTTTATATAAAAAAAAAAAAACACAAAAACAAACAAGCAAGCCCAGCTCAGATGCGAAAAAGTAATGCAAAAGTAACGTAATGCATTCCTTTCCATAAAAAGAACCTAAGTAATGCATTAGTTACTTTTTTAGGGAGTAATGCAATATTGTAATGCATTACTTTTAAAAG